TTTTTATTCTTGTTTTTATACTAGTTTACAACAAGGATTACCGTTTATCGACATATGTACGCGTGATATAACAAAATACGTACGTTCGTATTCATTAGCGTTATTTCTTTTATTCAGTATTCTCTAAAATAAACGTTTTACTTAACGTTGTTTCTTTTTATATTTTCTAAAACAGATGTTTTCATTTTGTTAATCCAAATTCGAATCTCATACAATAAAATTCAAATTTGGGACAAGTATGATATAGATATAGGTGACCTCATTAGTAAAATCGATAGTATGGTATGGCATCTTATACTGTACTTGATCCCAAATTTGGATTAGTATGAAGCAATTAAATTATAACTTAACCTATCGCTATGATACAGTATCAACCCCCTTTTTATGGTGCTTATGGTGGGATGACTTTTTTTTGTATTCCCGGATTTATGACATAATTATGCTTACAAGTTATTTACTTTAAAACCTTTTTCTCGTCGATCTTGTTACTATAGTTGTACAGTAATTTGCAGTCAAAATAACAATAAACCAATAATAACTCATGATATTGAATTCATGCACTTAATACAAAATTTTGATACGTACCAGTTTCTGACATTTATATCGAGAACTAGGATTCAGCAAACAGAAGATTTGTGTTGTAAGGTCCTTAAGAATTTTGGTACTGTACTTGATCAATAGTTTAATTATGTCGAAGGCTTTGGGTTTTGTGGTAATGTGAAACCTTATTAAAGATGATTGTGGTTCAAAAGCAAAGCAACGCTCAACTTATTCATTAGCAGTTGAGAGCTCTGTTAATATTTTCTATCGAAACGTTTTGACTTGCCGAAACAAAAAATGCAAAAATTAAAATTTGTTATAACTTTGTTAAAAAAAATTTATAATCTTTTTTTTTTTTTTTTTTAGGTTGACCTTTTCTTTTTTAAAACTTCGAATTACTTTTCGGTTTCGATTAAAGATGCTGATGGAATTAGATTAGAGTGGTGAAATAATTTCACACTATTTGTGAAATTGGTGTTGAATTGGTGACATTAATTTCATCAGCATCTCTGATCTCTGGTTTCAATAAAGCCAACAACTTTAAGCTTTGTTATTAAAATAGCAATGCAAAGACAAACGGTTGTAACAATATATATTTTAATGACATTTCGTAAAAACAATTTTAGATAAAATTTTGTCAAACAGAATAATTTATTTATTTAAAAGAAATATACAAAGTACAAATTTATATCATATTCATATAAATATTTAAGAGAAAAAAAACCTACCGCTACGTAAATAGGAAAAAAATCTTAATATTTATAAAAATATAAACAAATAAAATATAAAAATTTATTTCATAAAAATATAAACAAATAAAATATAAAAATTTATTTCATAAAAATAAAAAGAAAAAAATCAAATCATATTCTGTGTTTTCACTTATTCATCGTCTTCATCGTCTTCATCTCCCAATTCACCGTCACTTAAAGGTAATCCTGTTATACTTTTGATTGATTCGTCAAGCATTTTACTTTTTCTAATTATTCTTTTACATTCTTCATCTTCTAATACTTCATCAGTTTTTCTATAATTATAAATTGTGTAATCTTTTCCCGGATTCAATGAATAAATTTTATATTTTCGAGTACATTTTTTTTTCTCAGGATCATAATATATATTATACTTATATGGATGTGTAACCAAAAACCAATTAGCGCCAGATACAACTGGATCTTTAACTATATCGGTTTTAAAAGTTACATCTACACAAGTTATTCCATCAGGAATTGGAATTTCTTCTTCTTTATCTTTCTTTAAAAAAAATATTCGTGCAAGATTTTCTTCGGTTGGAAGTGTTTCGACTTTAATTCGAAACGGTAAATCTTTGAATTTTTGAATATTATAATCATTTTTTAAATCGCCTTCTTTATCGCGTTTTCCTACATTTATACGTCCTGCTCGATTATACATTTCGATAAATCTAATTTAAAATCAATTGTTTAGTTATTTTGTTAAAATTATTGATATATTAAAAAAACATATTTACTCATTCAAAAAATTGTTTTTTTTTTTTTTTTTTTGTTATGGTATATTTTTAATGATCGAAAATTTCATAGTCATTTTAAAACATTAATACGTATATTAAAACCGGAATGCCAAAAGCATAAGTTTAAAAATTAGAATATTTAATAAGTTGATAAATCGTGTTTTATAATTTGGAATACTCAATAATAAATCATTATATCGTGTTAAAGTCAAAGAAATTTTAATTTCAGGGGTCAAGTTAGACGCAATGATTCCAAGCAGTTGTCAACGTAAGCACGACAGTTACACTATCGCCATGCCCTCATTAAATACATATTTTGATAACGGAATTTGATATCCGATGCATTAAGTAATTAAGTATGGTGTAACAACTTTAGTTTTTGAATAATCCATTATCATACCAATATGGTCTTCTGTTATTAGTTTTAAACTAAACATGTTGTACAAACTTAAAACGTGTAAATTAAAATTCTTAACAAATTTTAATTGTATTAACAATTTAAATTAACAGTATTATTGAATTTGTTTATAATTATAAAATTCAATCTCAAATTTAATTGAAAAAAACATTTAATAAAAATAAAGATATTCAAATTTTAAAATTTCTAATAAACTTTGGTGAAAACCTTTCTTCAATAAATAATATATATTTTAATTACACAAGTTGAACTATTTATGTTAATATTTATTAGAAATGATATTACTTGGTTAAAAGTAATTAAATTAGAAATGATATTACTTGGTTAAAAGTAATTAAATTATTTAGATTATTTAAATTAGAAATAAATGTATACATCACATTATGCGATACACTTGTATGTCGCACCTCTATATAAACAATAACTGCAAATCCGCATAACATAAAATCAATTTTTATATAATAGTTTAAGGTTAATAGTTAGAGGCTAGGGTAGGGCATAGTTATATAGTAAAATTCTGCAAGAAATGTTTTTTATTGGAATATTAAAAGCTGTTTTATAGGCAAAGTTTTGAAATATTATAATTTCTTTAAAAAAACAAATAGCTAACATTACACCTGATCTTCACGTTATACTACAGATATACAATTTAATTGGTAAATCGCTAGAGTCCGATATATAAGCGCATTGCATGGTGCGATGCCTAATTAAGTCCTAATAAAAATTATATATTTTTGTTTTATAATATTTAATTTTTTTATATTTAGCAATCTTGTCAATGAATCTATAATACAGTAAGATTATTGTATTTATTGAATATAGTTTTAAGTTTTAATTTAAAGTCTAATATTCTCTAGTTACCTTATAGGTTTCAAAAGCAGTCTGTTGTACTAAGCTAAAATTACCGTTGGCCACTGTTTACAGTACCCGGGGTCTTATTCAAAAACATCATTTTTAAAATTGAATAGTACCGGGTACTATTCACTAATCCAGTAATCTCATTGGTGGAGGAGGGGTACTTTATGTGGTAGGATACTATTTTTGGAGGATACTGTAAGCAGTGGCAAACGGTAATTTTGAGACTAGAAGGTTGTTCAAATTAGTTTGGAAGCTATTTAGACTTTTTTTAATTTCTAAGTGTCGTGCAATAGTGCACTTATGGGGTCTTTTGGTCAGTTTCCACTTAGGTTTTTCACTCACTTGGCACTGGCGTAT